GCAAATAATTTGTTATTACGAAAGATATAAAGTACTCGAAAGATATGATTTGTCTCACTATCAAAATTTTAGAAAGGTACTTTGGTTAAAGGGCCAGAAAATATGTTACTTAATTAAGCCAAAATTAAACTTTCGTTTGCACATTTTGATTGTAGTTATGCGACCTAATTGGTTTTTGAGGAATAGCATAGTATATTGGTGTTAATTTTAGCTTCGTTTTGAATGCAAGTATGTGACGAAGAAAGTACTAGAAAGATGTACTCAGAATCACACATATTTAAATACATTGTACACTTTTATGCCCAATGCTAGTCAGTAAGCAGATAATACATTCCATGAAAATTAAACCGTTTGTTCAGGAAATATACTTATAGAATTTAAGCTATATTACCTTATTTGCATTATACCTATTTTCTATGCATATGTTTCGAGGTTATCTCTTATTCTAGTTACTTGAAAGAGGTTTCACGTCAAGTAGACAACCTTATTTAGAATATTTCAGGAATGTGTTACTTATTGCGACTTTAAATATAATAAATATTATGATTTTCAACAAGATAATATAACCCAAAAAATTGGATAAAATACAATCTCATTCAGGGCAAATTCATCAAATAACAAGGCCCTCTGAAAATATGTTTAGTGATCATTAAAGATTAGCGCTTGATAGAAAACAGCTGATAGTTTAGGATTACGTTTTTCATCTTATAACATATAATATATTCTCTGAACTAGCTGGATTAAATTCATATAAATTATGCGTACGAGTATTCGATAGTTAGCTAAGGGCTTAATATAGACAAATTTCAGGAAATCTAGATAAGAGATGTATCAAGAAACCTGCTCTTTAATTAGCTATCCATAAAACCAGAATATATATTCGTATTATGATAACTATTTATAAGACTCCTGATAAATAATAAAAAAATTAAACCCTAATTCGTATTTTTATTTAAATCCTAGATCAGTTAATGTCATGCTCGCTACCTGTGCAACTTAATTTTGAAAGTTGCCAGACTATAGATAGTCATTTGTGTGGAATGAGAAATCGTTCCATCCATTAAGCCTCTGAGCATTACGCCAGATAAGTTAAAAAACCCGCTTAAAGCAATTGCATTAATATAGAAGACAAAAAAGTAAATTGTGATTTTTCTTACAAATTATATCAAGTCGAACCCGTGTATCGATACGGTGCTCAGTTTCGTCCCAGGCCTGGCATTCTACGTAGCTCCTGTCAAGCTCCCTGCGAATAACTAATTGCACTTGGCTTTCTTGGACAAAACTCTCGCCATCTGGTGTAGCTGTCTCTGTGGTTCGACTGGCATTCAGTTGGCGCGGTGGACGAGCCAAGCCTGCATGGCCACCTGTTGTTTCTTGCAGCAGCCATTTAATCATCACATGGGGGTAATAAGCACCAGTGGTACAGATGAGGCGCTTGCGTTCTCCCTCACGAGCAAGCACAACCAATTCACGTCTGCGGGCCCCGGCCACCATTAGCTCGTGGAGACTGCCCTCCTCCTGTCGTATTGTTAAGTTGGCGGGGGGATCTATAATAAGGTTTGGCATGCAGTTGATGCGTAAGTATGCAGGTAGAATGATTGTGATAGAAGTGCATGGCGTATGGGAAAGTTAGTTTATTTCACTTCTGCATGCAACTCTAACTGCCATTAGTTTCATGAGTTAAGGATTCAATCTGCTAATTCTGGGTAAAAATTATGTAAATTTATAGTCTTTTTAAGATGGAAGATGAGAATATACAAGATAGGTTAGAGGGTGCAAGGCTGACAGGTAATTATGATCAGAGAGATAAATCGTGCAGGCAGGATGAACAACTGGGTCTAGGAAATATCCGTTTGTCTTTTTTTGTGGGAGTTACTCATGCTTTAAAATAAAACAAAAAATTCAATGAAGTCATAGAGAATGATAACTAATTAGGTGAAATTTTTAATTCAGTACGTTGAGTACGAACGTAAATATTATTATGGTATTTCTTGGATTGCCTAGTAGTATATAAATTAGTGAATTTGGTCATTTATCAGATAACGAAATTAATTTTTTATAGAAAAGAAGTAAATTGAAGCTTTATTAGAGGATGAATGCATTCTTTCAAATGCCTATGAGTAGATGATCTCTATAGGATACTACGAGCTCAAACAAAACTTGGATTAAGTTTATGTAAAGGCTTAGAAAACTATATTTTTAGGTTTAAGAAAGAAAGTCAGTTTGGACTATCTTTTTAAATTAGAGAAGTTTATACCGATAGATGAAATTGCGGGATTATCTTTGCTTCGCCATGCTAAGGTAAATAAACTTGCTTCGTTCATGGTCACATATTTGACTGTGAGGAAAAGACCATTTGATTCACTTGCATGTAAAATGGTCAAGATTAACCTAAACAAAAGCTTAGAATATTGTCATTACTCAAATTGAAAATGAGAATGCGCTCCAGCAGGTGCTGAGTTAATTTAATTTACTGATAATATAAACGCAGAATAAATAATCAAAACTATAAATGTAGATATAAAGACCAAGATGTAGTGGCCTCTATGTTGTTCGCACTCTCCTTTCGATGTATAGATGCGGTCATGTGGTCAGGGCGAATTAGTTTAATCTACCTTCTCCTAAGTTGTCAGCTATACTAGTAATCATGTTTCTAAGCGTCAAACGGTAAACTTGGCACATCCTCAGAAATTTCGCCAGCATCATCAGTAAGTCTTGCCATTCCGGCACCAGGCTACAAATTGTCAAAAAGACAGGTAAAATCAATCCCTTGACCAATTTATGGCCGAAACGACTGTGTTATCACTCCTCTTTCTGTACTGGTCCCTATATCTTCTTTCTATCCTCCTGTCTCACTCTCGCTCTATCACAACTTCTGACTTGGTTAGATTCCACTCTTCAAGAGATGTGCCCTTTTGGCGAGTTTGCCGTGGCGTCATCATAACTGCCAATTGCCTTGATCCTCTCCCTTTCGAGTGGCTGATCCTACTTGGGCCCTCTGTCCGGATCTGCCTTATGGGCCCGTAGATCCTTTTCTTATCTTTCTTGTTGACGAATTTCACTCGGTTCAAGCCCCAGAGTACTTTTTACTTCAGGCGCAATTTGTCAAACCTTCAGTAGCATGCACAATGACGCTTCGCCTGTCGACCGCTTATGCCCTGATTCCCTTGGTTCCGGATATTGGGCTAAGCCTTCACAGGTCATTCCCTTGAATAAGCCTGTGTACACTGGGCAGACAGCGAACTCATATCTCTGGTCGCTTCCTATCTCTCAAGTGCATATCAAGTCATTTAGGCTATACGGCCGACATTCTGTGACGATTGCAATTACCTTCATCCTAGTCACGTGACCGTTAGGGCCTCAAAGTTGTAATTTTTTTTGTGAGTCGTATACATACACTAAAAAATTCTCCGGTTTATCTTAGAATTTTCATCGCCTTCTTCATCATTGTGATCACTTTTAACTGGTTTCGGTAGATCTATTTTTTGCTTGTCTTGTATATTTCTGTTTGCATAGTCCGCATGCGGGCTACTCTCAGGATAATTTTTGTCTCTTCTAGCAAGGTAATTCGGGCTAGTTGACTTGTTCTTCAATTATCCATGCTTAATAGGAAGGGCAATTTTTATTTTTAAAATTAGTTTGGTCTTATATTAATCATATTGAAACCCTTATAGCCATAAAGCCCAAATAGCTGGTTATAATTAACGAGTGTAATACTGAATCAAACTAAACGATTAAGTCTAAGCATTTCTTTACATTAAATTATTTTAAATATGTTCTTTTAGTAAGCTTTGTCTAAATTTTTATTTATTGTAATTTTATAACCGATTTATGTAATTCATAGATTACTATTTCATGACTCTGATGCTTCTAGGGATATTTTAATCGTTAAAAATTAATATCAGTCTAAAAATAATAGCTGTTTTAAAATAATTTACGAACCGTTTTTCTTTAATATTCGCATAATCTTAGAATAATTGGATTTGCCCACCAATTAAGCCTAATTTATTCTGAATTATAAAATATTGTAAAGCGAAATAATTAGCAAAAAATAATAACCCCATACTTTGGTAAACTAAACTCCTTAATAAGCAATAAACATAATTCTCAAAGCCTATAACACATGAGTCAATACAGAGACCTATACTTTAGATCAGATTAATAGGTTTTTGGATGATATTGATTCAAAATTTTATAATTTAGTGTATCCTGAGACAAATAATGATTTAAAAATTTGACTACAGTCAGACAGCCCATCAGACTAAGCTATCAAAGTTTATCAGTTTAAAATAAACAAGCATTTTAAAAAATATTTATACTCAAAGCTCTCTAGAGGTATTATATATTAGTGATATTTATTTAAGCCTTTTAATATACATGGACGCGTTTTTATAAAGTTTTTATCATCTACATTCTGACTTCAATTATCGAAATATTTTAATAAGTATTTGAGGTGATAAGCAACTGTTGATGCGCTTTTATGTTCAGTGATTAAATTTATACTAGACTTGGAACCTTATTTGAATGTTACTATTATTCTAGGAGAAATCGGCACCTAAATAAT